GTGGGTTATCATTAACCTAAAATACATAAAATATTAAGTTTTAAACTTCCCTATATCACCATCATCATATGTAGGTCATTGGCCACACTAGATATACTCACCAATATTTACTGAAAGGCGAAGATCCTCCGTTTTGCATCCCTTGTGATGTAAGAATCACAGTCAAGCATGTCCTGCTTGACTGTGTTGAATATTCCATCACAAGGGATAAGTATTTTAATGTCAAGACATTGAAGGATCTTTTTTATAATGTTAATTATCATTTTATAGTTGAATTTTTAAAAGAATTAGATTTGTGGACTGATCTGTAAATAGTTAAATATTTTATTGTTGGTAGTTTCTATTAGTAACTGAGATTGTTAGTGGCTGTACCCTTAAAGGGGGTTGACGTAGCGTAAAATTATTGTCCTCCTGAGAGGGTACGTAAGTCCCAAAACTTTCAAAGTCAATTTAAACTTGCCAGGATGTTTAATTTAATTACTAGTTTTACATGTATATCTGTGATATTCTAGTTGTTTTACTGTCCTTCGTCGGCAGGTTTTTATAATATCTGTATATATATTCTATTTAAATGTCAAATGTTCTCGTCACGATATGGCTGAAATATTGCCGATGTGACGTTAAATATTAACTCACTCACTCACTCACTCATATGTAGGTATAGATTTGCATGCTAGAAATGCATGCACAAGTAACTCCTAATAGTGCATTAGTACTTTCCAACATGAACAATCCTTTCTTGCACAAGTAAACGTTCATTGGAAAATCACCAAAATTGTGCTTAAGTATGTCTAAATGTTTTCATATTATTATAAAACAGGTAGTGCAATGCATAACTCTATTTGGGTAAGATAATGGTTGAATCCTTTAACATTTCTGTGCAAGAGTTGATAAAATGAGAAGTAGGATTGAACAGGTATTTCTCAAGGTTCATTTAACAAAATCTATTTTGTGGCTTGTATGCAAAGGTTTAGACAGTTATTTTATATGGAGTTCGAAGGTGTTCATCAACTGGTTGGGTTGAAAGAGCTTGCAGTAATAGAAAAGAGTGACTGAGTGAGTGAGTTCAGTTTTACGCCGCACTCAGCAATATTCCAGCTAAATGGCGGCGCTCTGTAAATAATCGAGTCTGGACCAGACAATCCAGTGATCAACATCATGAGCATCGATCGACGCAATTTGGATACAATGACATATGTCAACCATGTTAGCGAGCCTGACCACCCGATCCCTTCAGTCGCCTCTTACGACAAGCATGGGTTACTGAAGATCAGTTCTAATCCGGATCTTCACGGGTCTAGTGGAAAAGAAGTGCGACCAAACACTTGCCAAGGCGGAGGTCGACTGCTGTAAAAAGGAAGAGTCTGACGAATATGTGCAACTTCTTTAGTCGATTATGAAATAAACGAATGCACTTGGCATAAGGAAGTCCAACTCTACTACAATAATTTATGTCAAGGAGAAACACAAGTTATATGGATTGGCAACTCTTTATTGCAATAGATGTGACGATTCGGTGTAGATACTAGCACCGTTAGCATACAAGTGACTCAGAATATCGCTTTCTTGATAACGGTGTTAGCATCTACACCGAAACGTCGCATCCGTTGCAAAAATGAGTATAACCTGTTCCTCATCATCAAACCAACTTCTAAATGCCACTTTGAAGGAGATATGCTGAAGGCAGCTTTTTTGAAATATGTTATAAAGGAAGAAACAAAGTATACATCCGCACACGCAAAAAGTCACATGTGCTTTCATTGTATTCTAAAAAATAACAAGCAACTGCCCAAATCCGATAGTCAGTGCGTATGCATATTGTAATCCAAGCTTCGGGCGAAGTCGGACTGTGACGTCATAGATGCGAGACAACGGTCATTTTCCTTTATTTACGGTGCTTATATCTAATTGTTTGATCGGCATTTTAGAAGTTGATGAGTCAAAAATGAAACATACAACTTTATGGCTGACAACTTCCTGTTTATTGCATAGAGACGATTTAATTCCACAGTATCTGTAAACCCTGAAATTCCTCGTTTAAATATTCATATAACTAGATTCTGACAACCGGTGGTAGGATAATAGGCCCACTCAGACAAAAAGCCCCCAGACAAAACACCCCCTAGGCTAAATGCCCCCATGACAAACAGCCTCAATGGGTAGGAAAAAAAGGCCCTCAATGAAAAGATCTAATAGAATGCCAACTAATCTTTTTGCAGCAAATGAATATATTATTTATAATATAATATAAGAAACTCCATGACACAGTGTGATAAACTAGACGACCATCTTAACCGCTTAAACTAACACTAAACTCACTCACTCACTCACTCCTGCTGTTAACCAGTGAAATACATACTATGACAACTGTTTAATGTACTAAACTAACCATTACTGCACAATTCAATTAATACGTTGCACTCCATTGTATTTAACTTTGAACTCAAAGCTGATTGTTTGGCGTGAAGACAGCACAGGCAACCATGTTTTGACTATGGAATCTCCAACTGTCTACACCTGGCACATTCTACAAAAGAAACACTAACTCATGAAATGAGTGAGTGATCGAGTTTAGGAATAAGGCCGCACTCAGCAATATGCCAGCTATATGGTGGCGGTCTGTACATAATCGAGTCTGGACCAGACAATCCAGTGATCAACAGTATAAGCATAGATCTGCGCAATTGGGAACCGATCACATGTGTCAACCAAGTCAGTGAGCCTGACCACCCGATCCCGTTAGTCGCCTCTTACGACAAGCATGGGTTACTGAAAATCAATATTCTAACCAGGATCTTTATGGGTGACTCATGAAATGAACTCTGATTGCAAGACGAATAGTCACTGTATTCAGAAACATGTGAATAGCGTTTGATAAGTTCATTTTCATCAAAACACTCTTAATTTTAAGAAATTATATACTCCTCTGACGGCAGTTATCGATGAAGTGTTCGTACGTGTTCCGCGATACACTGAATTTCAGCTTCGTCACACATATGCTCTATTTGTTGTATTTCCTTAAAGCATTTACTTTCTAAACCTGTAGTGACGTTAAATATTAACTCACTCACTCACTCACTCACTCTAAACAAGTAGGTCCTTCGTCGACAGCTTTTTATAATATACATCTATTCCATTTCAATGTCACATATGTTCTTGTCACGATATGGCTGAAATATTGCCGATGTGACGTTAAATAACAACTCACTCACTCTAAACCTGTAGACATAGGTACACAGGCCCCACAGCCACACCTAAATATACAACATAGCTGTCTGAATAATACTTTCCGTACCATGATTTTTTATCGACGTTAATTACAGTTGGAAGTAATCTAATAGAAGTCAGTATTACTCACAATCTCACATTTTTACACCACTACTTCAATGATGTAAACAACATTTATTTCTCCCGACATCTAAATGAATTAATTCTATACACTGTCAAATTAGAAAACTTACCAATCTGTGTTCACTAGTTTCAATGTTGACATCAGAATGGTCGTCTTCACTTGACAGTTCCTCCTTTTGTCGCTGCTGTCATGATTATTTTGAATAACCACGGGCTCATATTGGTATGGACGAATATATGTAAGGCCAATGAGCGAAAATTCAGTCACACCCACTCATGATAGACTGCTATTACGTATAGATCAAAGGATGTAAATAAGAGAAGGTATCCGTAACAACATGTAACCCAACATTGTACAATGGCGAAAAAGCTCAAAAGCCATAATTAATGAAATATATGCTGCCAAAATTATTTTGGTCCATTTGGCTCAAAATCGGACCGATGAATTGAAATATAACTCGAAAACTACTAAACATATAATATTTGATGAAACCCTGATCATAATCACATCAGACCAACTCTGTGATTTTTTGCAGAATTTATGTCCTAAAAATAAACAAGTTGTTTACCAAACTATCATTAAAATTTTGACACCCTTCACTATTTGTTACGATGGAGGGGGCAAAGAGAGGAACAGCCAGGTGTGCGAGACAGGATGGAGACAGCACAGCACAAGTAAATGATTCAATAACTTTGTCGGCACGTGCTTCGCGTACACCTGGTTGTTCCTCTCTTTGCACCCTCCCTCGTAACAAATAGTGAAGTGTGTCAACATTTTAATGATAGTTTGGTAAACAACTTGTTTATTTTTAGGACATAAATTCTGCGATAGAATCACAGAGTTGGTCTGATGTTTTGATTATGATCAGTGTTTCATTGAGTATTATATGTTTAGTAGTTTCCGAGTTAGATTGAAATTCATCGGTCAGCTGATGAGCCAAACGGACTATAACAGAAGTAACCATATGGGTTTGATCATTGAAGCTGTGTAATGGGATATTATCCTCCTTTATCATTTTGATATCACATATATAATGAGTGAGTGAGTGAGTTATTATTTAACATCACATCGGCAATATTGCAGCCATATCGTGACGAGAACATATTTGATTTTGAAGTGGAATATATGTATATTATAAAAACCTGTCGACGAAGAACAGTAAAACAACTAGAATATCACAATTAGAATTAAAACTAGCATGGAAAGATTAAAACTAATAGCACTATTGGGACAATACAATATAAAAACAGGCTATAGATCGCCAACAACAGAAGGTAGATCACCATACATATATAATGAATATTCGATAAAAGGAAAAACATTCACGTCCTTTCACTACATCGAACAGTGCTGAACAATTTCTCAACTGACGCTATTGAGAGGTTTTCTATTGCCGAAAACCAGAACCTAAAAGACTGACGACATTGGGAACGGTCACAGTTCGTTTCACCATCCAGGAAACTTCTTACGACAGTACATAGACTAAGCTTGATAATCCAAAGCCAAATGAGAATATAAAGAAAATACCATCCAAAAGTCTGTCCAGTGAGAGATTACGGATCCATCTGAAAGCCTTCGTTCTCATATGCACTTTTGCGGTCTGATCTTTGAGATGCTCTTCTTTGTTCGATGAGTCAACAGGCATTACCTGAGTCAGCTTCAATCCTGCGTGTGCTTGGTTTGACTTTTCATGATCTTCATCTTCCTTGGTGTTCTTCTTTTGAGAGTACACATTCTGTACTACAATGGTGGCAATAATTCCGAGGAATCCTTGGACTTGAATCCCAACAAGGTAGAGGGATAGGTGTGAAATAGTGTCAGAAGTTGAGGGCATAATCTCGTGGACGAGACTAAGGAAGAGAGCATTCGACACAAAGACAGCCATAAGGTAGCCCACTTTTTCTCCAGAGCTTGCTGGAAGCAGGAACACGAAACTGTTGAGGAAGGAGACAAGGCACATCGGACAAATGAAGTTCAGGATGTAGAAGAATGGCTTTCTGGACAGATGGATGTTAAATATAGCAGCTTGGTACGGCAGGTCTTCATGAGGTGAAGAGTCCGAGGGAGTTATGTCGACAGTTTGCCACTCTCCATTGGTGTTAAGTTTTAAACCATATGAATTTGAATTCACAAATGGATGTAGAAATGTGGGATATCCAAAAGCCGTTGAAAATATCAGGTCACATGTCTGGTTGTCAAATGGATATCGAGATAGGTCGGTTTTGCAAATTGTGGAGACCATCATTATGTTCTGCCAGTAGAGAGATCCATTCATGAACAGCGTCATTGGCATCATTGTCGATAAAGGACCATCGCCGGCAGCAGCATTAACCAAGAACACGTTAGGACGCCAAACTTTATGTGGCGCGACTTCTATTTCTAAAACGTTTGGGTAGTCCGAGGCATTCCAAGCAAGTGATGAGTCCTTCCAACTCATCATCACAAACACTCTGAATTTAAGGACTTGGGTAGCATCAACTAGATCCTGAACCTGTAGAGGGCCAATCGTGACATCAACGTTGATGACATTTGTGTTTGGGTCGATGGGTGGAATTTCTGGGTTGAAGCGGGTTTCAAGATACGATCTCAGTTGTTTGACACTCTCTCTCGAGTCAGCCACACTGTCAACACAGACTGGTGATAACCATGCAACCACAACACACAACTCCAGAAAGTTCATCTTCATCATCATCAGTGGTCAGATAGCCGATGGTATATTGGCACACCGTATTTATATACCTACTCAATTTGTAAACTGAGGGTGATAAGTGGTGTGTTTAGTACAATCGTCACTAGTGACACTGCAATGCATTACAATCTCCATTTTCATTACGATATATCGTTGTTTGATTATTTATACAACATCAACGTAAGTGCCTCCTAAAATAACATAAAACTTTCTCAACATCAACGGCACGTGATGAGCTTAAATGTACGTTGTAGGGGCTACAATCTCAATAATGTTAAAAATAACGCACACAGGATGGTCATGAGGGAATTTAATGCTTAGCGTATCACTATGATATTTTCATAGTGATACGCTAAGCATTAAATTGAGTAAAAGCTACTTTGACATCTCTTTATTTTGTCTAAATACGTCCCGGATTGATCGAAAGGTACTTTGCAGCTGTATGCTGCACTCAGTGCTCAGTAATTGTTTTTCTGCTTCTCGATCACGTCAATTAGTCTACAACAGGTCATAAAAGCAGGTAAAATGTATGTCTGTTTGGGGAACTTCCATAATGACTTTAGCGTGTTTCTTTGAAAACACGCATTAAAAATATTACAGACAAACTGCATAATTGCAAATACATAATACATTGGCGTATTAAGTAAATTTCATTATAACATTTCTTCCAAACGTCTTCGCGGTTATAGGATGTGACAGAGAGCAAACTATTCACTTATCACGAGTCTCGAATGACCTCTTTTGATTTTTATGTATTGTTCCATTAGATTTCGAATTGTAATTTTGTAAACAGTTTAAATACTTTCTACCTTAGCAATCAATATGTAAGACATGCATAATTCTAACCTTATGCTACATGAGGATTTGGTGTCAAATGAAATGTAAGGAATATGTAACATAACCATGAGCTATATGTGACTTGTTAGGTAGATATACGCTTACCACAATCAACATAGCACAGGTTAGTAATACCTAATCGACCCTTGATCAACGAGTGAGTGAGTGAATTTAGTTTTATGCCGCACTCAGCAATCTTCCAACTATATAGCGACGTCTGTAAATAATCGAGTCTGGACCAGACAATTCAGTGATCAACAGCACGAGTATCGATCTGTGCAATTGGAACCGATGACTTGTGTCAACCAAGTCAGCGAGACTGACCACCCGATCCCGTTAGTCGCCTCTTACGACAAGCATGGGTTACTGAAGGCTCATTTCAACCCGGACCTTCACGGGTCCCTTGATCAACGAATAGCACGCTATTGGTACAGGATAAATCAGTAAGTTGCCATATGTAATCTACCCAAATAAGTGCATTTATCAGGGAATAGTTATGATGAAAGGTGTATGAAACTCGTGCGTAGTGATTTTAAAGAATCTAAATCCTCCCTTAATTAATATGCTGAAATATTCTCTAATTATTTGTTTTGAAATTATGTTTGGTATATAGACTTGTGAAGGGAAAACCGGCTTCCTAAGGTAATAAATTAATATTTAATCCGGATGTGACGTCAAACAAACAAGCAGAGCGTTTTAAATGGCAGCCTACATACCGGCTCCTAGCTTTCGCGCAAGTTGGCGCGCGCAAAGGGAGCCGGGAACCAGCTTATCACAAATATCGTAAACCAAACCTCAGGCGATCATAATACATCAAGAAGACAAAGTCAGCAAGGTTCCCCGTAATGGTAAGATACTCTTCATGAATATGTGTAGTAGCGTTAGGATGGGGTTACTTCTCTCTGTCAAGAACCACAAAGCCATTGGGGTGTGAGGCAATGGATGTTTATTACAATGGATGCAATAAAGAAAGATACGAGCCTGAAACAATTAATTCATGTACACTCTAACATGGACTGCTCCGCAAAACATATTATTTATGTTATTATATGCCCAGGGTGTCACGAAGAATACATTGGACAAACGGAGTGCTTGAGGGACAAAATGCGCGTCCATAAACAACAGATTAAGGACCCCAAAACAAGGTGCATCGCCTTCACACATCGACAAATGCGCAGCAGGAAAGGAAATCAAATTTAAAATATTCCCTTTCTATAAAATGAATACTGCTGACGCCATGCAGCGTAAAGCTAAAGAAAACTCTTTCATTAAAGAATTGTGTCCATCGTTAAACAGGTAAGGCAATGTGTCTGAATTATACTTGTTTTCATTGTGCTACTAGTACTGTCAATTTAAGCCGCCAATGTGACGTCATGGCAACGCCGCGTCACAACATTTGTAAACAGTTGCATTGTGACGTCATGACATAATCCGTTTAACTGTAATCACTTCTCCCTGAAGATAAAAGTGAAACATGTTGGAGAAGATCCGTGTCGTGTGATTATTTCAGAAACTTCTTCTTCTTCTATATATATATATAGAAACACACACATACACACACAACTAATCATGAATACTGTTGCCAACACATTACTATACCAACTTCACAGATATATACATCAAGTAGTTGTGACTATGTCAAATGTAACATTGTTCCTCACGTTGATATGACGAACATATATATGGAAACTATTCATATACTTGTATGCTTGTATCAACAACGGACTGCCTGAGTGCTTCCACGATTTGATGTACTTCAGTAATGTTGATACTGGAAACAGAGTGGTACTGTTGATTTATGTCATTAGGTTCTTGTATCCCACAAACTTTAAGGAGAGTATTGACAGGTTTTAAAGTTATGCTCCCGGAAAGGAGCACTATCAGTCAAAGTAATTGCCATGGAAATGAAAAAATATTTTATTCAGAGATCTAAAACTATCAAAATAGCACCACTTTACCACCAGACCCATCTATGTGCAAGAAACACAACGGTTTTAAAGTTCTACACCGGAAAAGAGCGCAAACACCAATTTCAGTCGAAGTCAAACCTGTTGCCATGGAAACGAACAAATATTTATTCAGAAATCCAAAACTGCCAAAAGGCACCAGTTCACAGCCAGACCTATTTATGTGTAAAGTTTGGTGACGTAATATTGAAAGGACGGACGGAGTCCAAAATAATACGGGGATAACTATATGTATAATATGTGTCGATAACACTAGTGGAATGAAACGACATTTTACATTAGTTTTGATCTATCACGAAAGAGACGATCCTTCTGAATAAGAGTGAGTGAGTTAATATTTTTAGTCACACAAGGCCTGTGTTCCTACCCCTGAAGAATCCGGGTCGTAAGAGGGGACTAGCTGGATCGGGTGGTCAGACACGCTGACTTGGTTGATACATGTCATTGTATCCCAACTGTGTAGATCGGTGCTCATGCTGTTGATCACTGGATTGTCTGGTCCAGACTCGACTATTTACAGACCGCCGCCATATTGCTGGAATATTGCTGAGTGCGGCGTTAGACAACAAACCAACCATGTGATGTTGCACAAAATTTAATAAAAACATGACATGATTTTTTTTCAGCAATCGTTAATGATTTTGAACTCGGAAATTTGAATAAATAATATATGATTAAAGTTTTTGCCTAGGGTTGTTAACCCAGAAGGCAGTGGCTCATGGGCCGGAAGGGTAAGAATTAATATTTTCGTCTTTCCGCTGGAGTATATCATCTGAGTATCTTTGGTGATGCAATTTGGAAACCAACTTGTTTTTAGCAACTCCGTGGTGGATGAGCAGTTCGGTTGATGAAATATATACGGAACTTACGGAACACCCCATGGACACCATGTAGGTTGAACCCATTCGTAGTAACTTAGGGCATACAAAGTGAGTGAGTTAAGATTTGTAGTCACACCGGCAATATTTCAGCCATTTTGTGACTAAAACAAGTTATTAATTTGTAAGAAATAAGTTTCATTATAAAATCTGTCGGCAAAGAACAGTACAGCAACTGGAATATCACGCATAGAATTAGAAATAGCCGATATATAACAATAAAATTAGAACACTTTTTAGGACAATACAATATAAAACTAGGCTATTGATCACCAACAACTGTTAAAGCGTTCCCTCGTCCTCGGGTCCGATTCACCACATGGGTACACATGGGTACATCGTGAAGCCCATTTCTGGTCTCCTCTGCAGTGATATTGCTGGAACATTGCTAAACGTGGCGTAAAACCAAACTCACCCACTCACTAGAAAACCATGGGGACTTACAATACTTTTGCTACCTGCATGGACCCTAGCTGGATTTACATCTCCCTTCAGCTGTTGGCAATCGTACTGAGGTTCAGCCATTACTCAAAATACGAAATATACGATTAAAAACGTGGTAGGCTTAAATTTACTTTTGAAGGTTTCGGGACTTTATACTTTAACTTTCAGGATGCAGCCACTAAAAATCTCAGTTTCTAATGTAAACCACCAATAATAAAAAAATACATCTATCTACATATTAATATATCAATCATAATTTTTCAATTAAGTCCATTTCTTTTTGAAATCAATAATAAAATGGCATTTGACATTATTATCTGAAGAAGAAAAAATACAATTTCCTTTTCCTTCCATCTATGTTCAGGAGTGAGAAAAGAAATATGGTTTTACGCCGATTTTAGAAGTACCCAACAAATATCACTGAAAGGTTAATATTATCAACAGATTAATGACCTTATCAACAGATACGACGTCATACATTATATCAAACAGCACTCCCACTACGAGAATATCAGGTAAACGTATCGTCTGTATGCAGTCAATTTAATATAAACTGAGTGAGTAGGTTAAAATTTAAAGTCACATCGGCAATATTTCAGCCATATCGTGACTAAAACTAGTTCTAAATTCATAATACATACATATAATATATAACTCTATGTCAACGAAGGACGGCAAAATTACTAGATTAGCACAAATGAGTTAAAACTAGCTAGCATATATCTTTAAAAGTAAAAAACTATTATTGGACAATACAACGTAACAATGGGCTATAGATCATCGGCACCTGAAGGCTTAATATAAACTGATACTAACATGCTAATATATATTTTGCTTCAGTCGACTTCCACAGCAATTTAATTACCTCATACTAATGCATTTTTAAAAATTTGGGGAACAATTATTATCCGGATATCCGTCAAATACACCATTGATGTTGCAATTTTAAACCAATATATTCAATGAATCAACTAATTTCCTATCTTGTTCGCAGAGAATACCCATTGTTCATTTTGTCACATTTATAAGATGAACTGGAATGCAAATTCCAACAATAAACGAGTACTTCAAACGTGAGGACATTTAGAATCTATGACATTAAAATAATGTCATGTTTACACGAATATGGAAACAATGTCAACAGTACAATGAAAATTAAACAATTACCACAGCATCAGAATGAAAGTGATAACACTCAATATATTGCAATAAGAAATGGCTGTAGAAAGCGATGTTGTAAAGCCTTATTTGTATATTTCTGTCAATCAGGAACACATCTTCCAGAGGCAAGAGTTAACTTACTAAAATCTGCATCCAGGGGAAAGAAGTGGGTACTCCCTATTTTCATATCTGATTTCACATGCACATTACCTTCCATAATAACATTGTTAATGGTAAAAGCATAGTTTAAATGTACATTTTGTGTTTCTAGCTTTGAGGGGTTTCGATTTGACTAAAATTTTAGTTACGAAACCACTCCTCCGTTCATTTGATTCTCGTGACGCCCCTTATAATATTCCACGCATTAGGAAGGGGTTTCGTGGCAAACTCATTGTACTAGCAGTATGTATTATTAGTTATGCCCCCAAACTGTCGCTCCTATTGACCAGTCATATTCCACCTCCACCACCACACACACACGCACGCACACACACACACACACACACACACACACAAAACTTTGGATTCCAAAAGGAACCTGTATATTGTGCTCGACTTCAAGGACAGTATGTGATTACCCAGGCTGAAAGGGCATGACCGGTCAATTTTGTTCCCACCCTTAAACACTAAGATACAACGTTTGCTTGCACTATATGTCAGCTTACATTTGCAAGCATATTGATGAATAGTTTCCAAGGACATACGTAGGCCACTACCTGTTGGGCTTATGAGTGTCGTGTCATCCGCGAGTAGGACTACTGGATAGTGGCCTTGTCTGAATGATCAAGGCGACATATAAGCTCATTCATATACTCATATACACAAGGAACATCCATGCGGATAAGACACGCCCTTGTCCCACGCCTTGTCATATTTTGAACGTCCGATGCGTAGATTTGGGATTACACTTTGTACAACCCGTAAATATCCTGGTTAGAAGTGGTCTTCAGCAACCCATACTGTCGTAAGAGGGATCGGGTGGTCAGGTTGACACAAGTCATCGTATCCCAATTGCGTAGGTCGATGCTCATGCTGTTGGTCACAGAATTGTCTGGTCCAGACTCGATTATTTACAGACCGCCGTCACATACTAGTAGCTGAGTGCGGCGTTAAACAACAAAGCAAGCAACCAATCAATAAAGTACAAATTCTAGTAACCCACTCAGCCACCGAGAAAGTCATATAACAGATAAAACATTTGTTGCAGCGATATGTTTGATATTTTGACAAGAAAAAAAGAAATATGGATTGTTTGCGCAAGACTCCAATATCTACGTATACCACCGTCATATAGCTGGGAAATTGCTGAACAACAAGCAAACACATCCAGAAATGGATCATGTTGCTCTTTCATAGCACAATCTCTAATCCAGGACGAGAATCAGAAAGCATATAACTGACAAAATAATAGAACAAATAAAGAAAATACCATCCAGAAGTCTGTCAAGTGGTACACCATGCTTCCTCATCATGCACTGCCCATTTGAAGGTTGACTGTCTCCATGTTTGGGAAGGGATGCTGGTGTGCTAGATCCTGCGTTGTCAGCTGAACCAAGAGGCACGACTTGGTTTAAACGTGAATTGGCACCTTTCTCCAAAGCGTTCTGATGTTTGTGGTAAATGTTCTGTACCAAGATGGTGGCAGCAATAGCGAGGAAGCCTTGTATTTGGATACCGGTGAGGTAGAGAGAGAGTTTCGGAACAGAATCAGAGGTTGATGGCATGGTATCATGGATGAGGCTGAGGAAGAGAGCATTCGACACAAAGACAGACATAAGGTAGCCCATCTTTTCTCCAGAGCTAGCCGGTAGCAGGAACACGAAGCTGTTGAGGAAGGAGAGAAGGCACATTGGGAAAATGAGATTAAAAATGTGAAACAGATATTTTCGGGATAGGTGGATGTAAAAGACCGCAGCCTGGACAGATTCCTCAGTGTTACGGTTAATAATCGACGTTGTTATAGCAACAGCTTCCCACTCTCCGTTAGCTTCTATATTCAGATTGTAAGTATCTGAACTGACGGATGGATGGAGAATGACAGGATATCCTATTCCTTGTGCGAATTTTAATTCACACGTCTGGTTATCGAAGGGATAACCAGAGAGATCAGTCTTACATGTTGTAGACATCGTCATTACGTTCTGCCAAAGCAGAAACCCATCTTGGTTAACTGTTATAGGCATAGTTGTCGATAGTGGACCATTACCAACTGCTGCATTTAACAGCATCACTTTAGGAGACCAGATTTTATGTGGAGCGATTTCTATGTTTGAAACGTTGGGGTAGTCCGAGGCATTCCAAGCAAGTGAGGTGTCCTTCCAAGTCATGATCACAAACGTTCTGAATTTAAGTATTTGGGTGGCATCAACTAGGTCATGAACTTGCACTGGCCCGATGGTCATATCCACGTCAATGACATTAGTGAATTGATCGTTGGGAGGCACGTCGGGATTTAAACGGGAGTCAAGATCAGATCTCAGTCGTTTTAGACTCTCCTTGGTGTCAGTCAATACGTTGTTAATACAGGTTGATAAGAACATCACAAAACATTTCCTGAAATACATCCTCTTCAACATAAGCTGTCCCATTTGGTAATACTCATCAAAGGCAAGAATGCTTTGGCACCTGATATTTATACCTTCAGTTCCAATGGTGCATGACGTAACATCTATCTGTTGAAATATCAACACCATACCTCTTGGGTAATAATGACAACATTAACCAAACACCGTTGTTATGGTGGTATTAGTCTTGTCAACAAGAACATATATTGATGCAGTCCTAGGTTTCTAAGACGAATTGACGGGAGGATGCACGTCTATTGACTATTCTCATAGATTTACCTTTAGATCATCAGAATATGCTCATTAAAACAGCTTAAGTAGTGCCAAGTAGTGTCTAATCAACACAGCAGATACATACACAATAAATTGTGAAGTCAGCCCATAAGTGAAATGTAATTATTTATTTGGTACACCCATGATCCTTAAGTATTGGTTAATTGCCTATGCCCAACTGAATCGACAGCCATCTATTCTATGTGCAGTCATTAGTGGGCGTCAGTCCAATACTACAGTCTTTATTTGGTTGGAAGAAGAGCTGTGTCAATGTTTATGATTTTCGGATTTTGAAGGAATATATCCACAAGTGAAACTTTAATTAGTGTAATGAGCCAGTGGTGTAAACAACTGCCAGTGGAATGTACATATCACGACTGAGATTTATATTTGGTATATAAAACTGCATGTGTCATTACAGCAGGGACAGGCGGAATTGTCAGAAGCAATTAGTGGTGTATAATTGAATTTTCAGTGCCTGAAAATAAAATGCAGAAAAAAATTAAAATGACGAATGTGCCCATGTGGGGAATCGAATCCGGGTTTTCGGCGTAACGAGCGATGTCTGTCTGTCTGTCAGTTCTCTGTCTGTCTGTCTGTGAGGTGAGGTGAAATTGGGTTCAACGTCGCTCATATGACCACGTGCATGCGTGTGTATGTGTCATATGACCACGTGCATGTGTATGTGTATGTGTATGTGTATGTGTATGTGTATGTGCGGCAGCTTGTACTAGCCCAGACTTATGCTGGTTTTACAGTGCTAGCCCACTGAGATACCATGCCGCAGTTAAGCATGAATACCCCACTTAGACACAGTATACTGACTCCGAGCCGACCAGTCCTTGCTGTACCCATTAATGCCGAGCGCCAGGCAGGGACCAACAAGTACCACTTTGTGTGTGTGCGTGTGTGTAGGTGAGGTCAGGTGAGGTGAAATTGGGTTTAACGTTGAGAATATTTCGCTCATATGACGACCTGCATGCGTGTGTATGTGTATGTGCGGCTGCTTGTACTAGCCCAGGCTTAAGCTGGTTTTATAGTGCTAGCCCACTGAGATACCAAGCCGCAGTGAAGCATGAATACCCCACTCAGACACATTATACTGACTCCGAGCCGACCAGTCCTTGTTGTACCCATTAATGCCGAGCGCCAGGCAGGGACCAACAAGTACCATATTTTAACGTCTTTTGGTATGACGCGGTCGGGCGGACGCTCTAACCACTGCACCACGGAGGCGGTTCCCATGCAGTAGGCATCAAATGTGATGGACTAATGCGCAACTGAGATAATGAGACTAGAGAACACACGCGTCGAATCGTTGTAACAGCTGTGTTATTTTAATCTGGCAAAAATTGTTGAGGTCGCTTGAAGTTGAAGACTTATGTATGGAATGTGAGTTTGGAATTGAACGGTAACATTCCTGCCATACATCCCATTTTAATTTGAATCTTTAAGCATTGATGATAACTTGAAACAGAACCACACTATCTGATCTATCTAAATTAGTATGTCTCACACTCACACCGTGATGGTATAGTAGCCCCAATACCTAAACCTGGATTAATCAAACAGATCCTTAAACGTTATTGACCGATTTCCCTAACGAGCTACGTTTGCAATAAAAACAGATGTACCATTGATCCTTTTTGCTTTGAATCGTTTGTAAAATTTACATAATACGCACACAACCTGCACATGTTTTAATCAATAAAGGCAAACGACGCTACATGGACATTTCCAAAGATTTCATGACTTTGGATTGGCCGTTTGGCGCAATTAACATACACACGCTACGCGTTCGGCTTCAAATGAAATTTAGAGACTATCAATTCGGTCTAACATTCATCTAATTTCCAAACACAGTACGTTTATCTCCTAATTATAACCAAGGTCAAAGTCGACGCCATAAATATATATTTTAATAGTAAACATACGTCTACTTTAAGTTGTTTTAATCCAAACCAATATGGTTATAGGTATCACCTTGTGCGTTCTCATTTTCTGTTGTGCTAACAGCATCGTATTGTCCACCCTCCGAACACATGTTAGGCCTACTAATGTGACTGTACGAGTCAGTTCTTATGGCTTTCTTTACGTGCAAATTTAACGTTAGGTCATAATGTCCCTTCTCTGTGCCTATGCGGTTGTAGATACCAGCGTGACTAGAACCATCTCGTGAAGAGACCTGCTTGCCGTGGACGTTGTACTGATCCTCCTCAGACTCCTGTACGTCCAGGAGATGACTGTGTTCATCTTGCTGCTCTACACTGGAAGGCGTAGCGCTGTACCCTCCAGTAGCTCCACGACACCAGTCTCCTCTGTGCAGCACAGACTCTGTCGTGTCATAGTCTCCTGTGTACTTCGTGTGTTTCCCAGGTCCGGAAATGTGACTGTAGGGCTTTATACAGGTCCTCTTACTCTTCTGTTTTGTTGTTCCTGACAGGACGTTATAAACTTCTGGTGACACAGATGATGTGAGCCTTTGTTCATGTTGATCTATGACACAATATTCTGAGCTTTCAGGCGTACTGTGAATATCCACACCGTTTGGCGTTCTTCCTGAGTGGAATTGCACTTGCTGATCCCCCTCTTTACGCTTGAAACACATGACTTTCTGTCTGAAATATATACCCGAGATATTAATGTAATAGTATTTATATATATTATTCATATACTGAGGGAAACAAATAAGGGAACACATGAAAGCACAAGTATGCCTTAATTTTCTTTTAGGTTTCTTCACAAGCGTTGTATCGCAATGTGTGTGAGAATCTGAGAATAAATAGAGCGGCACTGCGATGATGTGGTGTTCCCTTATTTGTTTCATTCAGTATATGATACAAAATGAGTGAGTTAATATTTAACGTCACATCGGCAATATTGCAGCCATATCGTGACGAAAACAAGCCATACAATAAAAAGTAGAAACATTTTGAGGATTAAAACCTGTCGACGATGGACAGTAAAAAGACTAGAGAATCACAGTTATAAATATAAAACTAGCGCAAAGTCAAAATATTCCATTTAAGAAGACAATACAATATAAAATACGGGCTATAGATCGCCAACAACTGAAGTAAGATCATCATACTAAGGCCCATGGGGACTTACATTACTTTTGCTACCTGCATGGACCCTAGCTGGATTTACACCATCCCTTCAGCCATTGGCGTTGATGCTGAGATTGATACAAAATGAGCGAGTAAATACATATTCATATGTATTGTTTAATTGTTATGATTACTGTAGCGTAATACAGTGAGTGAGTGAGTGAATGAGTGTGAGTGAGTGAGTGAGAGAGCACGGCAAACAAACATAGGTAGGGTATGATCCTAGGTTTATCATGCCAAAGTAACACATTTCACAGTGACTCGCGGCTCTTAGACGACTTTGGTGTCAGTACCTCCTAACTGAATACAGACGGAAGAATGTCGGTATCTCTAATAGTGAGTATATTTTACACCGCTTTTGGCAGTATTCCCAGTATTATGGGTGCGCCATAAATGGGATTTCACGTGGGAATCGAACCCTGGCCATGGCGTGACGAGTGAAAGCTATTTAAAAGTTAGATACCTCATCAACTCCCCTCATATTTATTAACGTAACAGGATGTTATGTCTGCAAACATGTAATACTTCATGTACATGCTTAGTTTGACCATTTTGCATATTTGTGAACAGCATGATATTTGACAATATGATCAAGGAAACACTGTACTTGTGTACTATGAGGCTACCTACTGTACTGTACTGTACTGTACTGTACTGTACTACTGAGGTAAAGTCTGTAAACATGTAATATTTCATGTACATGCTTAGTTTGACCATTTTGCATATTTGTGAACAGCATGATGTTAGAGTGAGCGACAAAGGAAACACTGTACTTGTGTACAATGAAGCTATTTGTACCGTACTGTGTACTACTGAGGTAAAATCTGTAAACATGTAACACTTCATATACAGTCTTAGTTTTGACCGTTTTACATATTTGTGAACAGCAGGATATTTGACAATATGATCAAGGAAACACTGTACTTGCATACTATGAAGCTACCTGTACTGTACTGTACTACTGAGGTAAAGTCTGTTTACTGTACTACTGAGGTAAAGTCTGTGTACTGTACTACTGAGGTAAAGTCTGTAAACATAACTCTGGGAATAAAAACATGAAAAAAGAAAAAAAAGCATGTTATGTTTGACACTATGTTGACACTGCAAGTTTCTCTGTTTTAATGTCGTCTCTTGTCAACATCACAGGAATGTTTTGAAGTGAAAATCCACAAATACTGTGTTCGCAGCTTCATACAGTTCATACAGTTCATACAGCTACAGATAGAGAGGAATACAAGAGGATATAGAGGAACTACAACAAGAGGAACTACAACAAGAGGAAGTACAACAAAAGTGAATCCTCAATATCATGTCAGTGTACGTATCCTTAGTTAGGGGGATAACGATGTAACACATAGCATGGTGATATACACTTAGTTACAACACCATTGTCAGGGGGATAACGGTGTAACACATAGCATGGTGATATACACTTAGTTACAACACCACTGTCAGGGGGATAACGATGTAACACATAGCATGGTGATATACACCTAGTTACAACACCACTGTCAGGGGGATAACGATGTAACACATAGCATGGTGATATACACTTAGTTACAACACCACATTGTCAGGGGGATAACGATGTAACACATAGCATGGTGATATACACTTAGTTACAACACCACTGTCAGGGGGATAACGATAACACATAGCATGGTGATACACTTAGTTACAACATCACTGTCAGGGGATAACGATGTAACACATAGCATGGTGATATACACTTAGTTACAACACCATTGTCAGGGGGATAACGATGTAACACATAGCATGGTGATATACACTTAGTTACAACACCACTGTCAGGGGGATAACGATGTAACACATAGCATGGTGATATACACTTAGTTACAACACCATTGTCAGGGGGATAACGATGTAACACATAGCATGGTGATATACACTTAGTTACAACACCAGTGTCAGGGGGATAACGATGTAACACATAGCATGGTGATATACACTTAGTTACAACACCATTGTCAGGGGGATAACGATGTAACACATTGCATGGTGATATACACTTGTTTGATATATATTGTTTAAGCAGCCCATGATTGTCGCAAGAGGCGACTAACGGGGATCGGGTGGTCAGGCTCGCTGACTTGGTTGACACATGTCATCGTATCCCAATTGCGTAGTTCGATGCTCATGCTGTTGATCACTGGACTGTCTGGTCCAGACTTGATTATTTACAGACCGCCGCCATATAGCTGAAATATTGCTGAGGGCGGCAATCAATCAATCAATCAGTGTTTAATATCCAAATATCTCACCTTTTCATGAGGATTGGAACGCAGATGGCAGTCACAATTAACGCACACCCAATACCTATACCAATGTACATTCCTACAAAGAGAGTGAGTGAGTTAAAATACATGTGTTCATGATAATATGTCAGTGGGAGTAATATGTGAACTTATCAGTTATATGGAAGGAGGAATATACAGAAACTACGTATATAAAGAACATGCTTATGTCGAACTGACGGATATATCGAACTGTAGTTTTGTCCCAGTCACTCACTGTGTTCGTTATAACCGGAGCTTACTATGCATTTACCTTTATTTTACATCAGTGAAGCAAACGTGAGAACACACATAATCCTGAAGGATGAGTAAGTGAGTTTAGTTTTACGCCGCTTTTAGCAATATTCCAGCAATATAACGGCGGGGGACACCAGAAATGGGCTTCACACATTGTACCCATGTTGGGAATCGAACTCGGGTCTTCGGCGTGACGAGCGAACGCTTTAACCATTAGGCTACCCCACCGCCCCCCTGAAGGATGAAACCGCCTGATGGTATTGAATGGTGGTATTGAAACTGCCATATTCTTTCCTAAGTCACAATCTCCACATCTAGGTTATGTGATAAAGCAACAGTTACTGCTCCTATCTGAACTGATATAGTCATATTGCATGCTTTATTTCAGTCACCGAAGTTTACTTCAAACTTCATACTGGTAAGAGAGAACCGATTTAGAAAATACGCACCAGTCCAACTGATACCCGTGATTCCGATGTTTTCCGTCAAACCTTAAATAGAAAATAGACCATACATTATTCGTGATGTGAAACCGCTATTTATCACATTTTAAAAAATTATCCATAGAATTCAAAATAAAGGCACAAGCACGAGGGATGGCGACCAGAATTACTACCCTCATTCAATTTCTTACATTAAGCTTTCCATTTGTGAATCGAAGCAGATGTTTTTTTGTTTGCGTTTTGAGTTTATAAATGCGTGAGTGAGTATGGTATTACGCCGCTTTTAGCAATATTGCAGCAATATTGCAGCAATATCGCGGCGGGGGACACCAGAAATGGGCTTCACACATTGTACCCAGGATCTTCAGCGTGACGAGCGAACGCTTTAACCACAAGGTTACCCAACCGCCCCGGTTTTTAAAGAAGCTAAGCTAACTGCTAGGTTTGGTCAACAGAACTCTTACCAACACTGCAAATGAATCCTTGGGGTGTCTGGCACGATATCCACTCGTATCTCATGGTATTAGATAACCCGTCTTTTATAACCGCAAGACATGTTGGCAGGTCGCTGGAGGATTCAGTTTCATCTGTATGTGTGTCACTGACTACATCTTTCCCTGAAGGAAGACACAAAGCAAACATAGACTAAATAACTCAGGACCTGATTTCTTGAAACAAACTTATCTTTTTACTCAAATTTCAAAATGAGTTTGACAATTTGAAACAGCTGAATTTCCAACTCAATTGAATTTCTAAAATAAAAAAATCCAAAACAACTCAAGTAACCTATCTACTAAACGTAAATTGTCTACTATGTTTGAGTTAAATGTTGATTTCAGTTAATTCTGGGAAATGCATTTGTCTGCGTTGTTTTTCAAATTTGAGTAAAAAACGTTAACTTAAGTCAAAACCCAGACTAAAGTTTGTTTCGAGAATTGACAATATTTCATCCTTTAACACAAACATTATGGTAAGGTATAAATACAGACACGTTTCGAGTGTGAGTGAGTTAAGATTTATCGTCACATGGGCAATATTTCAGCCATATCGTGACGAGAACATTTTATAATTATAGTAAAGATCAATAAAGTTAGAAATTAAAAAACCTGTTGGCGAAGAACAGTAAAACTACCAGTGTATCACAGATATCCATGTAAAACTAGCAATTAAATCTAAAATATTGGAACTATAAATGACAATACAATATAAAAACAGGCTATAGATTGCCAATGCAACGACTGAAGGTAGATCACCATACTAGGGACCATGGGGACTTACAGTACATTTGCTTCCTGCATGGGCCCTAGCTGGATTTACACCATCCCCTCAGCCGTAAGCAACATAGACAAATCTAGCCATAGACAAATCTAGCCATAGTTTTCAATTTACTTTGAATGTTTGTGGACTTACGTATCCTCTCAGGAGGACAATAATGTTACAGTACTTTAACAGACACGTTGCGAATGAAGACTTGCCATTTAGCCATCTCATCGACGTTTCCATGTACAAACCAATCCAATAGTTCAATGGTTTTGATAACAGTCGTGCAAGGTTTGCACATGTCCTTGTTGTTAATGTGAGCAGATTGCAGCTACCATTCGACTGTGACCAAGGTAGACTTCTGTTTGAAAGGGTGACATTAGTAAGACACGTGTTGCTGAATGATCCATCTAAAACAAAGAATATAAAATATTAATCAAAAGCAATCTGAACTACATCAAGAAACACGCGTATTAGCGATTGTAATAAAAATATGTGGAAATACATAAAGGTGTTGTTTTGTTCACTTACTTGTAAATGTGCATAGAAATGTGTTTGAGTCTGAACATGATGTTGTCGTCATGTAAATTTCTCCTGCATAGTTTTTATAAACGTAGGCACATTTCCCGGTCGTTTTAGGGATGAACGGTGTTTCTCCTGAAAGAACAGCAATATAGCCAGGTCCAATATAAGATTAAAACATTTATGCATTTAGACATCTAAAATGTCGAGGCAAGGAAATATGGGTCATCACGCGAGAGTGTTTTGGGATGGTTAATATCCTGCATTAGGAATAAACATTCTATTAAGCGAGCCTTGGCGAGATTAACACATAGTGTTTATTCCTAATGCAAGATATTAACCATTCCAAAACACACGAGTGTGATATCTTATCTATCATACAATGTCATTCTTACTATATAATTGAAAAAATACAATTTCAAGCGCCACATGAAACTAAACTTCGTGGAATGTGCAAAGCTATCTATGACGTCACAAAAATGTGCGTGGTAATACGTTACGTCACAAGCTCGGTGACACAATATTTTACTGATCGCTCAATTGACTGCGTTAGGTCATCTAGTTAACAGAGAAGTTTTTATGTTAAAGCACGTATTGATGTCAACAATTCTTAGCTTACGTTTGAAAAATAACAATAGACTCGTGTGGAACTTCAGAAACCGTCAATTAACCTTTTGAACAACAAATACACTTTGTTGTTCGCGTGACATGTATTGGGAAACTATACACGTAGTGCAACTTTACGTGGCTACTGGGATCCTTTCACACTTCTTTTTTCAAAACAAAAACACATATATTCTTTGATCTTGGTCCGAGTTTATTTCGACTGCCATCATTTTACACATCATCTCATTACGTCATCATTTCCTGCACTTACAGAAACTATTTCTAAACAAAAATGAGACTAATTATTATTGTGACACTGGTTGTCTGCTGACTGATGTAGACATAACAAAATATAATGATGTTAGATTACATTAAAAATAGAATAATGAGGGTCTATTTTTACATAAAGCAGAAAGTCTTTCCAACAGAAATATTACTTAACCTGCTAATCAAACGTATTCATATTATGTTTACTGTAAGGCTCGTAAAATATTCACAAAGTGACTAAATATATAATCTCATTATGTAACACATGCATGTTCTGCTCGCTAACACTTACAGTCGGTCGGGGAACTGGTGTTGGTATCTTCGTAAGCCTATGAATTTCTATCTTCGCTTCGTAATCCACTCCATCTATCATTACCAGATATGATTTTTCTTGGATCAAAGCACTGACCGTACCGTAACCACGGCCGTCAATCAGGACACGATCACCGATAGATGGGCGTGACGCCATGTTTGTTTACACTGTGGAAGTAGTCCTTTGCATATGACCTCTCTATTTTGCACCGATATCCGTATATGACCCTGGCTTTATCCTGCCGAGACCGCCACCCATTGTATGATAAATGAAATTCCGAGTGAAATTAGGAAATAGGAGAATCACTTGTTCTGAAGTCTTTGTGTAGGTTTTGCAAATGTGACTCAATGTTACTTGGCTAAAGTATCACATTATGTGCTCATTCCTACAATTCGCGTCCGTATGTTTGAAATTCCTAGCTGCTGCCAGCTTATGTTATTACACCCGTGACGGCCTGGATGGATCTTCAGCAACCCATGCTTGTCTTAAGAGGGGAATAATGGGTCAGGGATAAGGCGGTCAGGCTTGCTTCATGTTATTGTATCCCAGTTTCGTAGATAGATGCTCATGATGTCAATCACTGGATTGTCGGGTTTAGTGTCGACAGCCGTCATATAGCTTGAGTGAGTGAGTGAGTTAATATTTAACGTCACATCGGCAATATCGCAGCCATATCGTGACGAAAACATCATATAGCTTGAATATTGATGAGTGCGGCGTTAAACAACAAACTAACAAAACATGAAATGATCTTATTACATACCCAGGTGATAAACTGACATTCCATCCACCTTGCCACACCGTTCATCCAAGTTACCAGCACACGGGGCTTCGGTACCAAGTATCTTCCATTTATCCTCGGGGACTTTTTTAAAACAATAGCACGTGTTTCCCTAGCAACAAAGAAATAAAATAATGTAAGTCTAGTACATCCAGAATACAATATTGCCATTATAAACACCACTAACTGAATGCTAACCTGAGATATAGATAAGATAAGAGTTAAAATTTAAAGTCATTTTGGCAATATTTCAGCCATATCGTGACTAAAACAGTAAATACTTGATAATTCAATTTGATAAAATCTGTCGCCTATTATATCACAGCTTGAGTTTTAAAACTAGCATGTAACCTAAAATTACATACTATTCAGACATTAGAACATAAATATGGGCTATAGATCGCCCCCAACTGAAGGTAGATCACCATACTAGGGACCATGGGGACTTACAGTACTTTTGCTAGCTGCATGAATCCTAACTGGATTTACTGCATCCTTCAGCAATTGGCGATTGTCGGCAAAATTCGCCAGGATTTTAAATTACAAAAATGCTACGTTTTGATAATCTGGTAAGTTTATATTTACTTATTTTTTTAGTATCTACTTAGTATATTGTCTTGCACTTCCGCGCGTATGTTCGTCTCTTTATTGTCATACTATCACAAATTAAAATGCATACATACACTGAGGCCAATCACGGGGTAGCCCTCCTTACAGTGCAGGTTGCACCGGAACGCCGAGATGTCAACAAAGGTCCCATTCCTTGTCGGTGCAGCTGGTAGCTTCCGGTAGCCAGCGTACTGATATAGGGCTGTGTTGTCAGCTGGTGCAAGTATGTGTAGTTCAGATTAGTTCAGACATGTGACGAGTTGTAGTACAAGGGTATCATATTGCCTCATTAGTCTAGTGAGTGAGTGAGTTAAGATTTTAAGTCACATTATTTCAGACATATCGTGACTGAATCAAGTTATAGATTTATAATAATTAAAGCTAAATTGTTTAACCATGTCAACGATGGACAGTAAAACAACTAGTTTATCACAGATATAAATTTTAAATTAGTAATTAAATATAACACAGTTTAACTGTAGATGAAAAGGCAATAGTAAAACAGGCTATAGATTGCTACAACTGAAGGTAGATAGATCACCATACTAGGGACTTTCAGTACATTTGCTTCCTGCATGGACCCTAGCTGGATTTACACCATCCCTTCAGCTGTTAGTAATATTTGACAAGCTAGCCATAAATTAAAATGACATAAAACTACGATTTAAACTAGTAGAAGATTTAAATTTACTTTGAAAGTTTTTTTCAACTGCCGGCTAAATTTTCGTACAATCGCCAGCAGCTGAAGGGATGGTGTAAATCCAGCTAGGGTCCATGCAGGTAGCAAAAGTAATGTAAGTCCCCATGGTTCTTAGTATGGTGATCTACCTTCAGTTGTTGGCGATCTATATCCCGTCTTTTATACTGTATTGTCTTCTTTAATTGGAATGTTTTAGCTTTGCTCGCTAGTTTTATATTCATAGCTGTGATTCTCTAGTATTTTTACTGTCCATCGTCGACAGATTTTAATCTTCAAAGTGTTTTCACTTTTTATTGTATAAATTGTTTTCGTCACAATATGGCTGAGATGTTGCCGATGTGACGTTAAATATTAACTCACTCACTCACTTTGAAGGTTTGGGGATTTATGTACCCTCTCAGGAAGAAACTCCTCATTAGTCTAAGACAAGAGAGTTAATACACATATATAACGCTTGTGAAGACTGCTACTTGCTGACTTTAAATGACACCATTATTAGATATGTTTAATATCAAGTGCAGGAAAAACCCTCTCTTAGTTTATAAATGGGATTTTCCTGTATAAGGTTGATGAACAATACTGTTGTAAATGTATGATCATCAGATTTATTTGACGATATATATAGGAAACATACTTGTCCATTTCCATGTGCCATACGTGATTGCTCCGATCCAGTAATAGGTTGAAAGATTTAGGCTGTCAGCTGCGTCAGGAATGAGTCCTGATTGAAATAAATCCGCTTGAAATTCGTCACGACATCTTCTCCGAGATTCCCACCAAGTTGTTTTATCGTTGACGACTCTGATTGCCTCATGCGTTTGTGCTAAGTATAAGAAACCAAACAATTTCAAATATACTCTTAAAAAGTAGGGGAACTTCATTTTTAATTTACGATTGAAAAAGTGGGAGATATATCGGAGTCAATCGATGTTGATATGGTAATAATGAATGTTTTGAGAGTACATCAGCACTTGCAATTCCTTATGACCATGGCCATATATAGTTGTTTGTACAGTAATAGTGAGTGACAGATGATTGGTGCATGTCGTAAAATTTGCATGGTGTACGATTTACATTAAACCCCCCCCACCCGCCGCGCCCCCACCCCCAACAACAACAACCCAGAAAAACAAAAAACAGAACAGAATAAAAAAAAAAAACCCCAAAACCCCAAAAACAACAAACAACAAAAACAAAACACAAAAAAAGGAAAAAAACCGGCCAGAAACAAACAGTAACAACAGTGTGATGCAAAATGATAATTGTCTACAGTATTTTATCGATCGTTTTGAAATCCGTCAAAGTCAGGAATGACACCCCATGCACATGTATGTTGCTACTGCATTGTGCACGTGCATCCCATGCGTTGGTTTTAGGGGTGGTGATAAAGAGTAATTTGGTGCCTTCCTAAGTTTGTAAATTCAGGTTCCCCTACTATTTTTGAAGAGTATATCATATTGAATCTCTGCTGAAAAAGACACCAAAAAACTATATCATGAATATTATGGATTACTATCAAACAGTGGTTATACCAGGTGTTCGCCAAAAGATGGCCGTATCCCGCACCTTCGGTTGTCCGTCAATAATCAGTTTTTAAATAATCGAGCTGCATATGTATTCGTGTTAATTAAAGAAACCGTGAAAGGCAGACAAAATCATGAAACATCATAAACATATAAGTAATCACTCAGCAAGTATTTAAAAGTGGTTCTATGCTCCACATTGTGGTGCGCTTTTTAAATATAGCCCTTGGCGTTTTAATCTGTAAATATAGCCCTTGACGTTTTAATCTGTAAATATAGCCCTTGACGTTTCAATCTGTAAATATAGCCCTTGACGTTTTAATCTGTAAATATAGCCCTTGACGTTTTAATCTGTAAATATAGCCCTTGACGTTTTAATCTGTAAATATAGCCCTTGACGTTTTAATCTGTAAATATAGCCCTTGACGTTTTAATCTGTAAATATAGCCCTTGACGTTTTAATCTGTAAATATAGCCCTTGACGTTTTAATCTGTAAATATAGCCCTTGACGTTTTAATCTGTAAATATAGCCCTTGACGTTTTAATCTGTAAATATAGCCCTTGACGTTTTAATCTGTAAATATAGCCCTTGACGTTTTAATCTGTAAATATAGCCCTTGACGTTTTAATCTGTAAATATAGCCCTTGACGTTTTAATCTGTAAATATAGCCCTTGACGTTTTAATCTGTAAATATAGCCCTTGACGTTTTAATCTGTAAATATAGCCCTTGACGTTTTAATCTGTAAATATAGCCCTTGACGTTTTAATCTGTAAATATAGCCCTTGACGTTTTCAATCTGTAAATATAGCCCTTGACGTTTTAATCTGTAAATATAGCCCTTGACGTTTTAATCTGTATGTAAAGGAGAAATAGTATTTGTGTGGAGCAATTATTTACTGTCAGATAAAGCCCAATCATACATGTGAGTCAGCGTTCGGAATTTGACTGTAAGATTCATCCACTTCCCCGACATTTCCCCTCTACTGTACAGTGTAATAATACCCTTCGTCCGCTGGCAAGTGGTTATAAACCCCAGCGGTAGACCTATTTCATATGGACCTTTATCAGTTTCTTGTATAAACCATAGATACTGACTTACGAGGAATTATCGCTTACTGTACGAATGATTCACGTCTTATAAAGTGAGCCATGAGACGACACAGTAGTATTTCAAAGACAACAAATGAAAATTGACGGGCCTGTCAGTTTCCTGAACATAGTGCCCCTTTAAGTGTTGAAGTACCATAAACGTCAACTTACCTATCTGTTCGCTGTCTACGTGAATCAGCTGCACGCAATGAACAACAAGCCATGTCACTAGCCTCATACTTCCAGCTCTGTCTGGCCTTCCATCTTCACTGCTCACCACCTTAACCCTAACCAGGAAGTGGAAACAGGACACGGACAGGGTTGGAGTAACTCACTGTTACAGTAGTTGGAGTATAGTTGAAGTGCTTAGGACAAAGGTCTGGTCACATATATCATCCTCGTAGGGTGTCACTTCGTGGAATGTATATCATGTACAATGGTTGGATGCATACAAAAATCAATGTCGACTCCTCCCGAACACTGACCACGAAAGGAGAGACATATGCAGAAATGATTATAATAAATGCAGAATGATTTTACATGTACTTTCAAGTGTGTTTATATGTTCTAAATCCCTATTTTGTATTTGGTATGTGAGTGTATAAGAGGGTGGGATTAGCCTTTAGGTTAAAGTATTCACTCGTAAAGCTGATAATCTGGGTTCGAGTCCCCACATGGGTACACTGTGTAAAGCCCATTTTTGTTACTCATTCACTCTTACCAATATGATCCATTATTATCAAGTACAAGTCGACTCCTTACATACTGAGGGAGTGAGTGAGTTGGATTTTACACCGCTTTTAGAAATATTCCAGCAATATCACGGCCGGGCACACCAGAAATATGCTTCACACATTGTACCTATGCGGGGAATCGAACCCGGGTCTTCGGCGTGACGAGCGAACGCTTTTACCTCTTGGCTGCCCCACCGCCCCTCTTACATACTGGCACATATTATAATGGATCGGCTGATCTAAAGGATAGACTGGAATCACACCTCAACCCCATGGATCATTACTTATGATATTAGTCACGCATTTAAGTAGCCACCAGTGTATTGAAAGAGAAGAGTACGTTGCTAAGTGAGGGACTCGGCAACAAGGAAATAAAGTATATTTAATGTATTTTTAATGTAAGTGGTCTTCATCCGGTAACTGAAACTGCTGGCTAAATCACGCCAATGTGTTTTTATGATAGTATTCAATACTAAGTGTTACAAACAAGGCTGAATAATAATATGAAAGTAGAAATTAAACATAAAACGCTTGAAAGAAAGGTATAGTAAATATTGAAAATATTGGTTTTGTATATTCATAAAACATACGACTGGAATAATTTTCGTAGTGACGTTGCGAGTCAAATGTTAGGTATCTTTTGTATTTTTTCTTGCAATTTATTCGGCGAAAATGTCAATTAAATTTAGAGCTGACTGCATTTGCAAGTTGTGAGTGAGTTTAGTTTTACGCCGCACTCAGCAATATTCCAGCTATATAGCGGCGGTCTGTAAATAATTGAGTCTGGGCCAGACAATACAGTGATCAAAAGCATGAGCATCGATCGACGCCATTGGGAAACGATGACATGTGTCAAGCAAGTCCGCGAGCCTGGCCACCCGATCCCGTTAGTCGCCTCTTACGACAGGCATGGGTTGCTGAAGATCAATTCTACCCCGGATCTTCACGGATTTTTGCAAGTTGTGACAATCATGTGCAGTGACAATGACTACAAAAGGGGTCAACATTTTGGATTCCGTGTGTTGTTTGTTTGAAACTGTCGCGACTGAATACTGCACATCTAAATACTACAAAAGGACGTCTTGAAGCTGGAAAACCCCACTCTGCAGCTGCAGGCCATTTCAACACCACCACCATCACCATATCTCGTTTATAGGAACAGTATGTATGCAACAATTCAACAAGATCTCCCGAGAAGTGGTAGACCAAGAATCACAATCACCTCATCCGGATCTTTCATCTGCGCTATCGACATGCTAGTGCCAAAGAGACAGCGGGACATGTGTCTGGTTCGAGGAGGGTATCGGGCCAAACAATCAGAAATGGCTGCGAGAGGTAAGAATTAGACCATGAAACTAGCCACACAGCAGAGGCAGGCAAAATTGTTTCAGTCCAAGTAAGAGCTCAGGTGAGTAGTACTTTCTATTGATTGATTCCTAATTAGGATTAGTTAAATTGTCAATTGAACATCCTTAATTGTTAATTGGTAGATATTAACGAATTGAATTGATTCGTAATTGGATCAATCAACCTTGTTGTTATAGGTGAAGAGGACTGCAACGCAAGACCTGTTTAAGTCTGCCAGGTCAATAGCTGAGGATATCACCAGCGATAAGGTAGATACAATACTGCCATCCGGGAGCAGAGACAACCCTGAATATTTGGCTCGTATCGCCAACAGGTGTAGAGAAAAACTTCGGCCAAAGAATCCGAAAGATTTGGAATTGGAATTTGAAAGTCATACGAAGATGCTGCTCGTCCTACCCCGTCCACCCCAAGTCCGATGCATTATGATGGATTTCGAAGCTGCCACATGGAAGGTATTTGATCGACTCCTCCCCGATGTCAATCTACGCGGCTGTTTTCAAGCCATCTGGCGACATTGCCAGGAACACATTCATTCATTCGTATAAGCATAATATTCATATAGCCACATGTTTCAAAGTCATCTTCTGTTCCTATTCTTGTCTTGAGAGCGTCGTCACAGAAGCTGGTTGGTCTCTGTGACTACATGGAGCGACAGTGGATGAGTCACTCCATCTTCACAGTGGTCAGTTGGTCTGTATTCAACCAGTCAGTCCGCACCAATTATGAAATTGTGTAAATTATGAACGAATGAACTTGTGTAAATTGCCATAATGTCATTTTTGTTAATTATGTGACCTTGTGTTGATTAAATATATGTATTGCCATTACATGAAAACTTGGCTACATGCTTTAGTAATGTTATGCTGATATTATGCTATATGTGTCAATAAATAATGTAAAACCTTTCTAAACTTTTTCTATTCGGCCCATTTGACTTTCACCTCGGCCCTTTTGACTTTTTGTCACGGCCCTTTTGACTTTCACCTCGGCCCTTTTGACTTTTTCCATCGGCCCTTTTGACTAGGCACTTCTCGGCCCTTTTGTCCTTCGGCCCTTTTGACTAGTTCCCTGATGACTATGGTTGCAGGGATTTGTTTCAACATAACATACAAAACATCACCACAAACAGTCATGAAGGAAGTCAACAGATCATCAGTTTTTGATCACGGTGTCACGATGAAACGAATCTGCTGCCAGTTTCCCCTGCACCGCCACCAAGTCAGATAACTGTGTGTAGGGTATGGCCATTGAGATGGGTAGATGAACATGACCATGAAGCAATTATCTTTACAGATTCTATGGCAGCAATCAAAGCTATAGAAGCTGGTGCAAATGGATCTAGAGATGACATTGTGCATGAGATATTAAAGTTGGATACATCGTTAAACATGAAGTATATTGCATGCGACATTGTGTGGGTCCCAGCACATGTTGGAATACATGGGAATGAGATTGCAGATAATTTGGCCAAATCCGGGTTACAGTTTCCTGAAGTTGATTTATCTAAATTTCAACCAATCCCTAAAGATTATGAAAATGTTTTATCGAAATCTGTTACAAGGAGTTGTGGAATACAGGTACTACCGGCCGACATATGTACAAACTTAGACCATCACTAAAATCTGGTCATAAAATTCTTCGTCGTAAAAGGCGTGATGAGGTTATTCTTTCACGTCTAAGACTTGGACACTGTGGGCTAAATGCCTACAGGAGTATTATAGATAAGACGGTCTCTTCTAAATGTGGCCATTGCAATTTGGAGACGCCTGAAAACATCGAACATTATCTAATTACATGCCCTGGGCATAACAACATAAGACAAAATCTCAGAAGTGCTGTACTTGAGGTTGATGATGTATTCTCATTAGAAACAGTTTTGGGCCCCAATATCATGTATGGGTCTGTGCAACGGGCAGTTTTAGATTTTGTCTCGTCATCTGGAAAATATGATGTAATCTAGACAGGCTCTCGAATGGCTTAGACAGATTTAGTTCTGTGGTTTTAAATCATTTTAACACTCTGTCATCTGAACCTACTGCTTTTTTATTGAATGAGTATTTCATGTGAAATGGAAGTGATTACTTAAGGTTTTTAATCCGTAACACGAAGCAGAGGTTATTCCATATATGTATACATCTATCCAAATTAATAATGTTGTCGTATCTTTTATCTTAGCTAAACGATTCCTTTTGGCGATGAAATTACATATGATTGTTTATTAAATCAAGTCAATGTGATGGGCGCAAATAGGCCTCTTATTGGCCCACGTCGCCCTAAAACTATAAAACCAACCAAACCATGGCTTTCCACATACTTCAAGGATACTTAGCCACAACACCTTCTGAGGTAAACTTTCAACGTGCAAAGATGTCCAGTAGTTCCTGACTGTGTTAGAAATCCATTATGATATTCATAAAATCACCCTGAACACATTGTTTTCTAACAATAAAGAGAAACAAAGTGTAACGGTCGACGGGGTGGCTGGAGAGGTATTTACTACGACAATGTGGGTATGTGGATCACTCTCTTCCAGCCACGGCAACACAACAGTTTTAACTAGTAAATGATTTCACAAGTCATAAAAGTTACCAACAGCAAAATTTATTATAAACAATAGCAAACTTCTAACAGTAAAGACAATTAGGAGATAAACCTACTGTGTGGGAAAATCAGAGGTATATAACGAAATTATAATAGCTCTAAATTGTTCATTTAAAACCTCACGCTACGCGTTCGGTTTTAAATGAAATTTAGAGCTATTATAACTTCGTTATATACCTCTGATTTTCCAACACAGTAGGTTTATCTCCATTCTACCATGACAATTTTATGAACAATTTCAGGTGGAGCTCTTTTTTTGGTTACGAGTCAATACGTGAAGCGGCCTCGCATTCCAATCTCAAATGGCATCGCCCGAAACGGGATGATTGGTGGCAAAGCGTCAATGACTAACAAACTCCAGATTCAGTAGTAACAAATCACGTTTTGTTTTTTCAATGCATCAATCATCAATCATTAACTGATAAGTTGGAAAACATATATCAAATAAGTATAAAAAGCTTGGTTCACATTTGAAAATTCCACAGTAGACCCTTACCCCACCAGAATAATGGCAGCAACCTCATGGCCTTGACCTTTTCTCGGAAGTCATTGTTTACATTTACGTGCAA